GAACACAGCTGCTTCATCTCCCTGTCCCATGACTTCACCCTGCACTCTTCAACCAATCAGCAATCTCCACACTTTGGGCCACTCCAAACCCTTAAAAATCCTAGTCTAAAACTCTTCATGGAGATGGATTTAAGATTCCTTCCCATCTCCTTAGTAGGTGGCTCTATAATTAAACCTCTTCCTCTGCTGCAAACTGGTATCTTGGCATATTGACTTGCTGTGTGCATTAGGCAACAAACCTATTATGGTTGCAATAATAGCCCATATTGAATTATTGAACAACACTTACTGGAAACTATGTATCCTGAATATATGAAGAACTTTTGCAGCTCAGAAATAAAAAGACAAAAACCCAATCAAAAATAGAGTGAAAGACTCGAATAGACATTTCTCCAAAGAAGCTATACAAATGGTCAGCAAGCACATGAAAAGATGTTTATGTTATTACTCACTAGAGAAATGCACATTAAAACCACAGTGAGATACCATTTTAGTACTATGGTGAGATGCCACTAGGATGACTGTAATTTTTTTAAAGGAAAATAACAAATGTTGGCAAGAATGTGGAGAAATAGAACCCTCATACATCGCTGGGAAGAATGTAAAATGAGGTAACCACTGTTAAAAACAGTCTGGCAGTTCCTCAAAAAGTTGAACATGAAGTTACCATAGCACCCAGCAATTCAATTCCTACGTCTATACTCAAAAGAATTGAAAATGTATGTTCACACAAAAATCTGCACATGAATGTTCACAGCCGCATTATTCGCAATAGCCAAAAATATAAACAACCCAGATAACCATCAACTGAGGAATGAATAAACTGTGGTACATCCATACAGTGGAATATTATTCAGGTATAAAAAGGAACGGAGTGCTGATTCGTGCTGCAACAGAGATGAACCTTAAAAACATTATGCTCAGTGAAAGAGGCCCGACAGTAAAGGTCACGTAGCAAATTATTCCATTCATGTGAAATGTCCAAAATAGGCAAATTCAAAGAGATGGAAAACAGATTAGTGGTTGCCAGGGAACAGGCAGAGGGGAAAAGTGACTGCTTATGGTTTCCATGGTTTCTTCTTGCAGTGATGGAAATGATTTGCAATTAGACAATGGTGATGGTTGTACAACATTGTGAATATACTAAAACACCATGGGATTGTACACTTTAAAATGATGCAATTTATGTTATGTGAATTTTTGTCTCAATAAAAAAAACTGCAAAAAAAAGGGAATTAAGAAAGCAAAAACAGGCCGGGCACGGTGGCTCAAGCCTATAATCCCAGCACTTTGGGAGGCCGAGACGGGCGGATCACGAGGTCAGGAGATCGAGACCATCCTGGCTAACACGGTGAAACCCCGTCTCTACTAAAAAATACAAAAACCTAGCCGGGCGAGGTGGCAGGCGCCTGTAGTTCCAGCTACTCGGGAGGCTGAGGCAGGAGAATGGCGTGAACCTGGGAGGCGGAGCTTGCAGTGAGCTGAGATCCGGCCACTGCACTCCAGTCTGGGTGACAAAGCGAGACTCTGTCTCAACAAAACTGCAAAAAAAAGGGAATTAAGAAAGCAAAAACAGGTGGGGCATGATGACTCACACCTGTAATCCTAGCACTTTGGGAGGCCAAGGCGGGAGGATCACTTGAGGCCAGGAGCTCGAGACCAGCCTGGCCAACAAAAAGATGGACAAAACTCCATCTCTACTAAAAATACAGAAATTAGCTGACCGTGGTACTGGGCGCCTATAATCCCAGCTACTTGGGAGGCTAAGGCACAAGAATCCCTTGAACCCAGGAGGCAGAGGTTGCAATGAGCCAAGATTGCATCACTGCACTCCAGCCTGGGTGACAGAGTGATACTCTGTCTCAAAAAAAGAGAGAGCAAAACACAAAAAAGCAGAGAACTTTCTCCAACTGCAATCAGAAAAAAAGGCAGAAGGAAGCCGGGTGCGGTGGCTCACGCCTGTAATCCCAGCACTTTGGGAGGCCGAGGCTGGCAGATCATGAGGTCGGGAGATCGAGACCATCCTGGCTAACACAGTGAAACCCTGTCTCTATTAAAAATACAAAAAATTAGCCAGGCGTGGTGGCGGGCGCCTGTAGTCCCAGCTACTCGGGAGGCTGAGGCAGGAGAATGGCGTGAACCCCGGAGGCGGAGCTTGCTGTGAGGCAAGATCATGCCACTGCACTCCAGCCTGGGAGACAGAACGAGACTCCATCTCAAAAAAGAAAAAGGAAAAGAAAAAGGCAGAAGGAGAAGCCAGAGGGATTCACAGCAAGAGAAAGACTCAATACACCTTTGGTGCTTTGAAGAAGGAAAGGGCAAGATAACAAGGAATGCAGGTGGCCATAAGGAGCTGTAAAAGGCCCTGGCTGACAGCCAGCAAAGAAACAGGGACATCAGTCCTTCAGCCACAAGGAACCAAATTCTCCCAACAACCTGAGTGAGCTTGGCAGAGATTCACCCGCAGAGCCTCGAATGGAATGCTCCCTGCTGACAGCTTGATTTCAGCTTTGTGAGACTCTAGGCAGAGGACCCAGCTGAGCCCCCCTGCACACACCCTTCGAAACTACAAAACTGTCAGATAATAATGGATATCGTTTTAAGCTACTAAATGAGTGGCAATTTGTTAGGGCAGCAATAGAAAATGAATACACTGGTTTCTTAGAAACTTAGTTTCTACCAATGTATTCATTTTCTATTGCTGCCCTAACAAATTGCCACAAATTGAGTGGCTTACAGAAAGGTGGTTTGGCTGGACGTCGCATCCCTGCATCATTTTATCTAAGTGCTGACTGCAGCATGAACGTGGATAGGAATGTTGAGCGTAGGAGAAAAGACAAGAAGAAGACAAGGAAGGAGGTGAGGACGGAGCCATGAGGACTGCTCCATTACATGGCCAGTCAGAAAGCCACCAACAGGCCGGGCGCGGTGGCTCAAGCCTGTAATCCCAGCACTTTGGGAGGCCGAGGCGGGTGGATCACAAGGTCAGGAGATCGAGACCATCCTGGCTAACACCGTGAAACCCCGTCTCTACTAAAAAAATACAAAAAACTAGCCGGGCGTGGTGGTGGGCGCCTGTAGTCCCAGCTACTTGGGAGGCCGAGGCAGGAGAATGGCGTGAACCCGGGGGCGGAGCTTGCAGTGAGCCGAGATCGCGCCACTGCACTCCAGCCTGGGCGACAGAGCAAGACTCCGTCTCAAAAAAAAAAAAAAAAAAAAAAAAAAAAGAAAGCCACCAACAGGACGAGGAGCCATGAGGCTCAAGAAGAGGAAGTAAGTGCTGTGTTACAGTTGTTGCTTTGATCAATGCTGTCTCAGACAACAGAATACGCTCTAGCTAATTTAAATAAAATACATGTATTTAAAGTCATTAGCAATTCATAGAATTGTTAGGAAAAGCAAGGACACAGAGGCTAGGCTGAGCTTCCAGGAATAACTGTTAGAGGAGCTGCTTGCCTCTGCCGTCATCGGGCAGTCATCGATCTGGAAGCTATGTCCCTGCTCTTGGCTGGAGAACCTTCCTGCCCTGCTGCAATGCACACCAGCAAAAAGCGATGCCTCCAGCCCTGTCTGCCTGCCCAGCATCTCAGTTTCAAATGACAGTCCCAGAGAGGGCGCCTGACGGATGGAATTGAAACTCAACTGGAAAGAGTGGAGGGGGAATATGGAAAATGTCAATTTTAGCTTTCTCCCCACTGTCAAGAAGGTATGCACAGCAGGAATAGAATGAATGCGGAATGAGTCAGCCCACAGTATCTTCCTCAGAAGGCAAGGAAGGCCAGTGTTTCAAAGAGGGAGTGGTTAGGCTGGCAGTGTCAGACAAGGTTGAAAGAGACAACGAACCTTTCCGGAATTTAGTGATGGCAGGACACCTAAACAAAGCTGAACCAATGCATCACAGAAGTGGAGTCCTTGAAGAATGAATATAAAATAAGGAAACGAAGACAGCGCCTATCATCAAGTGTTTCCAGAAACTTGGCTGTGCAGAGGTGGAAAGAGACAGGGCGGAGCTGCAGGGGTGAGGGGTATGGAGGGACAACTCAGAGTCATTTTCCCTTCCTCTCCTTTGATTCAGATTGGTTTGGTTTCCAGATGTCTAAAAACTGATGAGAAAGTCCTTTGGGGGGCGGGGGGGCGGGGTTGGATATAAAGATAAAACAGAGCATTCGAAGGGCAAAAGGGTATTCCATACAGTGAGGTTTCTGAGAAGGCAGCAGGGGTGGGGGCAGGGAGGCCCAGAGCGCAGGTGGAGAGTGAGCCTGGTGTGGAGTTAGCCACCTCTCCCAGAGGAAGACGGGGATGCGGAGGGTGAAAGGGGGCTCGCAGACACGGTAGGAGAAAGACAGGCAAGGTGGAGAGGGAGCCTGGTGTGGAGTTAGCCACCTCCCAGAGGAAGACGGATGAGGGCAGGGGCTCAGAGACACGGTAGGAGAAAGACAGGCATTAATTCAGCTTCTATTTTTCTGTGAAGTGGGATACGAGTCAGTGGCTGAGAAGGAGGAGGAGGGGGCAGGAGTGGGCAGCTGAGAGCCGAGGAGAGGGATTTGAAAGGGAGTGGAAGCTCTGCAGAGTGAGAGGGCGAGAAATACAGACATGAAAGCAGCATCACACCCCCTGAGCATGCATGACCTGCTTGGCGCTAGGTGTGGCTCCTCTCCAGGAGCAGAGAGAGTGGCGCGCGATGCTGCATACACACACACACAGACACAGACACACACACACACACACACAGACACTAAGCCACACAGAAAAACAGACACACAGCCACACACACACACATGCATACACACTCCAGACAGTATTGGCATACACGACACACACAGAAATACACACACACACAGACACACCCCAGAGAAACAGACACACACACACAGACACACACAGACACACTTGTGAGACACACACAGACATACACACAGACACACACAGAAACACACACACGCAGACACCCACACACACACAGAGACACATGCACAGACACACACCGAGACATACACAGAAACACAGACACACATACACACAGAAACACAGGCACAGACTCCCACACGTGGACGCACAGACACACATATATATGATACTTCTTGTCTCATCTGGGATTGGGTTTCTGCCAGATGAGTACAACACTAAGAAAAAATGAGCTAGGGAGTTAGTTCTGTGAACGCCTAGCTGGTTTCAGAAGAAAACAGAAAGGTGAGGGCTGAGGGAGTGGGAGAAACAGAGTCTGAGGCACCACTTCCAACCAGGTGGCACCAAGAGCCAGCGTGGCAGCGGAGGGGGGACGTGGGGGAAGCAAACTGCGGGAGAAGAGGTCGCACGGAGAGAGTGCCTCTACTGACTTAGTGATGTGCAGTATTTTGAATGATCGCTATTTTCCAGATCCTGTGATAGACTAAATGGTAAACGACCCCAAGGAAATTCGAATCATGGTGATGATGTGTCCACAGGGGGCAGATTTACCAAGAAACCTAAGCTGTAAGGCCTGTCACCTGTAAGTCCTGGGAGGGGCACTAGTAATTTTTATATTTGTTATTTTGCGTATATGCACAAGCTTCAGGGACAAAACTTAGGCCCACCCACGGGTCCCTCCCCAGGCCTTGGAAGAGGACATGCACATAAGGAACACCACAGTCAAAGGTTCCTCAGCCTCACGCCCTCTCCATCCCGTCATGACATCTAACTACACTGAAAGAAATGAGCATCCAGCTGAGGTTAAGTTTCTGCACTTGTGCGTATGTGTATGGCATAGACTTCAAGGTGGCCCCGCGACCCCTGTGACTTGCTCCTAACCAACAAAATATGACCAGTGTGATGCAGTGTGACTCCTAGGATTATGTAGTTGTATAAGGCTTGGTCTCCTTGAAAGATTTGAAGAAGCCAGCTACCATGAGGTCTACATCTTTCCACAACCTTGGTGAGTTTGGAAGGAGACTCTTACCCACGAGCATCTCAAGATGAGAACACAGCCCTGGTCAGGACCCTCATTGCAGTTTTGCTGAGGACCCGACTAGGCTGTGCCCAGACACCCGCCCCACAGAAACATAATAAATGTGTGTTGTTTTAAGCCACTGAGTTTACAGTAATTTGTTATGCAGCATAAAAAATGGATACAATAAGTAAACATAGGGATAATAGCCCTTGCTCTGCTGGGCTGGTGTGAGGATTATGTGGGATATGTGAAGGTGGTGCTATGGTGTGAATGTCTGTGTCCCTCCCTCCAAAACGCAGGTGTTGGAACCTAATCCCCAACGTGGTGGTAGGTTTGCCACCTGAAGCAGACAACGGCCCTCACCAGATACTGAACCAGCTGGTGCCTTAACCTTGTACTTCCAGCCTCCAGAACTGTGAAATGTAAGTTTCTGTTCTTTACAAATGACCCAGCCTCAGGTATTTTGTTATAGCAGCAGGAACAGACTGAGATAGTGGCCAACACAATTCCAAGTGCCTGGTGAATGCTTCCCTTCTGTCCCTTCACAGACAGAAGGTCTAGTAAGAAGCAATAGTTCTAGTGAGAAGTAACTCACCCCAACTCTATTAGAATTGACTTAGAGGTCCAGGCCAATTTAGTTGGTGGGACAGTAAGTGTTTTAGAAGTAGACGTGGGTTCAGATCATGGCTCCATTACACCCCAGGTGTATGATTCTAGGGAAGTGTTGTGCCGGACCCCTGTTGATTCCAACAAAGATGGCACCCTGTCCGAGAGCCTGAAGAAGAGACCCAGAGCTAGCAGACGAGAGAAAGAGTTGAGTGAGGACCCACATACAGGGCAGTCCAGGAACAGGGTGCTAGACATGACAACTGCTATTGTTTGAAAAAGCATGCCGTTTATGTGGCAATTTTCACTTCACATCCTCCGTCTATCAACCTCTGTTTAAATCAAAACAAAGGCTTCAATCCCCTGTACGCCTGTGTTCCAAGGAATGGACCAGGGTTTTGGATGTCCCTCATAGATAAGGAGTGAGTCTCTGGGTTGGCCACTCCCAGACACACATTCTTCTTAGACCACAGGGTCATTCTCAGGGTGTGCTTAAGTTACTGCTATCAGTTGCACCTGCCATACAGGAAGTCACTTAACCACCTTAACTGGTGCTGTCTTCACCTATAAAGGAAACACGTTCTTTAATTCCCAGGGGACAGAGGGAACTAAAGCAGATAAAAATACATAGAAAACGTTTTGCGTAGTTGCCGGCATAGAATAAGAGCTCAACAAAGGTCATTTCCCTCCGTCTCTTGCATTTCATGACCACAAACTCTCCACCTGGAAGCCCGTGTCCTATCCTGCTGCAACCCCTGCACCGCCCTGCTCATCTGTCCTTCTCTACTCTTCTCTGGAAAGCCCTCCTGCCTTGGCCCAGCTCCATTCTTCCAGGGCTCCTTCTTAGAGAATGTGCTTTGGGAAGGAGCTCGTTAGTGCCCTGAAGCCAAGGGGTTCACAGTCCATGATTTAACATGAGGGGCTCCCTGGGGCACTTAGCTTTTCACAGGGCTTAAGCTTTCAACCTGAGGATGAATCTTTAATGACAGCACTTCAGACACTTGGGACAGAACCCTATGGATGGTGACAAGCAGTCCATCTTCGCTATGCACTTTGGACCCTGCACTGAGCCCCATGGCCTGCTCTTCCGGTGCTAAGCACTGTGTTGGAGCAGAGAGGACTATCAGCCTAAAACACCAAACACACCCAGTCACCGGGCAGAAACTGAGAGGCGGCACACACTTCCAACCCAGCTGCTCAGAGACGAGGTGATATTTCAAGCCCGAAAGGTTCATCTCATAAAACTCTTAAAATACGCTAATTAATGGTAAACTGGGCAGATACTTTTCTGTTAAAGAACAGATTACAGCTCTAAGTGACCCAGGGAGATCACATTCTAAAATGGATATTCCAGACTAAGATGCGCTGCCCTTTTGACCAGAATTTGCTGGGGCAGAAATAAACCATGTCATCACACAGTTTGTGGTATGTGAAGGTGAAGTGCATTAGTTTCAATGAAATGTTGAGGCACGGGATCTCAAAATGAATTTTTGTATTGCTTCCTAGAGTGAAAAGTTGTCGGATACATGTAGTTTGTATACTAAAATATTGAAATTTCTGGGGCATTTTGCTGTATTACAGAGACAAGTAAAATATTAGAAACTGGAATGGTTTCAGAAACACTAGAACATATGGTACCCATCCTAGCAAAATTCATTGCCAACGCAGAAACCAAAAATAATTGGAATTTTTGGTGAGGTGAATTTGGAGACACTGCCAAAAAATGGACTCTTTCCATTTCTATCCCTTCTGCTTGCAGTCTCTGGCCAAATGCTGTCCATGGATGAAAAACAAGGTTTCCCAGGAGATTGCTAAAGTAGATGGCACCACGCAGTAGGACGGCCTTGCCCTGCTGAGGAGAAACGACAAGGCACATATGGTGCTCATTCCTGCAAATGTCAACTTATTTCAAAACCAAAAAATGAAATAAAATGCGTTTCAAACGTTCATGCACAGATCCACCGAGAATGTGGTTCCAAGGATGTGAGTAGGATGCCATGAAGTGGTTGTCAGAGTGTCTTGCAGATCCTCTTGATATCTGGCCTTCTTCTAGCCAGTGGTGCAGCCAGGGAACTGACTCACGATCACTGCAGGGCAGCATGCCTTTCAGCTCACACCAGGAAGACTCTGCAGATTGAGTAACCTTCTTCAAGGGGCTGTTAAACTTTAGATCCTTCATGACTCACAGAGTGAAGCCTCACAATAATCAAAGTTTAGACAATGAAATATCCTCAAGAGCACTTATGATTTTTACAAAATATGCAGCCTCTTTGCCTGTACCTTTAAGTGGCCATTGGCTGTATTAGTCAGGACAGGCTAGGTTATGCTGCAGAACAAACAGGCCCTGACATCCTTCAACAAAGGTATAATTTTTGTTCATGATATTTCTCCAGCATAGGTGAGCAGGTAAGGGGGGGTAGTCTGCTCCACATAGCCACTCAGGAACCCAGGCTAAATGAGGCTTTGTTGTCTGTAATGTGGCCAGTGGCCTAGGGAAGAGAAAAGCCTGCACAGACAGCTCACATCTATAGTTCAGACCAACAGGGCCACATATCACTTCTTGCAGTCCATTGGCCTCAAATGACCCCATTTAAGGGCAGGGAGATTTGACATGTAGTCTTTCATGTGCCTGATGGAGAGGAGCACTAGTAATATCTATCAGATTTTAGTATTTCATTCACTTACTTGAGCCTGTACTAAATTCTAGACCTTGTGATGGATATAGCTGCATATAAAGTACATTAATTGCCCTCAAAATCAGAAGACACCATATCTCAGGATGGAAAAGGTGACGTTTGAGACCTTGACCACCCATACTCAAGCAATTACATCACTTGGAATATCTGTCTCCTAAAAGATGGAGAATGATTGTCCAGAGGAATGACTGCCCAGAGGAAAACAGACTGGACAGTCCCTGACATGCAAATCCAGGAATTACATATGACCCCTACCATCAAAGGGCTCAGCAAGCACCCGCTTACTATACCTGCCAGAGCCCTGGCAATCAAAGCGGGGTGGGTGATGCAGTGTTCAGAGAAGGAGGAGAAGAAGAGGACTATGTGAAAAACAAGAATATTCTGATTGATGACATATTCTAGGCTCTGAGGCAGGACTGGATCTGCTGTCTGTCAGTCCTCTGAGCCCAAGCTAGGCCATCATATCCCCCATGACCTCCACGTGTACATCCAGATGGCCTGAAGTAACTGAAGAATCACAAAAGTGAAAATGGCCAGTCCCTGCCTTAACTGATGACATTATCTTGTGAAATTCCTTCTCCTGGCTTATCCTGGCTCAAAAGCTCCCCGACTAAGCACCTTGTGACCCCTGCCCCTGCCAGCCAGAGAACAACCCCCCTTGACTGTAATTTTCCTTTACCTACCCAAATCCTACAAAACGGCCCTAACCCATCTCCCTTCACTGACTCTCTTTTCGGACTCAGCCCGTCTGCACCCAGGTGAAATGAACAGAAAGCCTCTTTGGCGGTCTCTTCACACGGACGCAAGTGAAACTGTCGTGATGGTTCCTCTGTTTTTGTAGGTTTTTTTCTTTTCTTTCTTTCTTTTTTTTTTTGTGTTTTTGTTTTTGTTTTTGTTTTTGTTTTTGTTTTTGTTTTGAGATAGGGTTTGGCTCTGTTGCCCAGGCTGGAGTGATCATAGCTCCAGCCATGGCATGATCATAGCTCACTGCAGCCTCGAACCCTTGGGCTCAAGTGATCTTCCTGACTCAGACTCCTGGGTAGCTAGGATCACAGATGTGCACCATCATGCCTGACTAATTGTTTTTAAATTTCTAGATTTTTGTTTTGTTTTGTTTTGAGACGGAGTCTTGCTCTATTGCCCAGCCTGGAGTGCAGTGGCGCGATCTCGGCTCACTGCAAGCTCTGCCTCCTGGGTTCATGCCGTTCTCCTGCCTCAGCCTCCCGAGTAGCTGGGACTACAGGCGCCTGCTACCACACCCGGCTAATTTTTTTGTATTTTTAGTACAGACGGGGTTTCACCGTAATAACCAGGATAGTCTCAATCTCCTGACCTCGTGATCTGCCTGGCTCAGCCTCTCCAAGTGCTAGGATTACAGGCACAAGCCACCATGCCCAAATTTTTAAATTTTTATAGAGATGGGGATCTCATTATGTTGCCCAGGCTGGTCTTGAACTCCTGGCCTTAAGTAGACCTCCCATGTGGACCTAGAATTATAAGCATGAACCATCACTCCTGGCCCATCATGGCTTCTCAGAACGCTCCCTTTTGAACTTTTTATCTTGTCTGAAATTCAACTGATTGGCGATTCATCTTGGTTGTTGAGCTCCTTTTTTTCAAAACATGCATATTTCCCAGAGGACTTTGAAGCTAATAGCTATTGAGTGTGGACCCACTCAATCAGACATCTTTCTTTTCTAACACCTAACTGAACTTGGGGATAGGGGTTTTACTGAGGACCAGGTGATGGCAAGGCTACTTGGGGTGCCCGAGTGAAGGGCTCAGGGTACCACTAGTAGACTAGGGGCCTAAGGAAATAACATCCAGGGATGGCCAGGAAGCAGCCCTCACCAGATTCCAGATATTCCAACCTCTTGATCTTGGGCTTTCCAGGCCACTTTTGGGTTTGTGGGTGATGCCTTCTCATTGCATTTTCACGTGGTGAAGAGCTGAAAGAGTGAGCAAGCTCTCGTATCTCTTCTTACAAGGGTGTTAATCTCATTTGTGAGGGCTCCACCTTTATGACCTACTTACCCCCAAATGCCTCTCCTAAGACCATCACGTTGGGGGTTAGAATTTCAACATATGAATTTCCAGGGGACACAAGCTTCCAGTTCATAGCAGGGCTGGTAAGGGTTACAGTTGGAATTGAGGGTTCCATGCTCTTTCCCTAGTGATACCTTCCTTCTGGTCACTGACCTCACCCTCCCTCTTGCAGTTGTGGCCTCCAGGTGTCCAGAGCAGACTCAGGACAGGCCTATGAGGACCAGCATTCTCT